TTCAGATCTTGTATAGAAAACCCACTAGGTAAGAGCTTCTTTTTCTTTTTTAATTATGCAGCAATGTTGGTAGGGCAAAATAAAACAGTTTAATTGGGCTTTGAAAGTGTTTTCTAAACAGTTTTCTGAAAAACCACTGCTCTTTTTCTTTTAAATGAATATGTAGCCAGTTTCAGTTTGTATCACCAGGGCTTACCTTTCATAAAGAATTTGTGCTGAATAATTATCAAGCTGAAATTCGAATTCATAAATATTTTGCATAGGGCAATTTCGTACCTCGATTGGAAGTTTTTATTTACTTTTTGCACGTTTCAAGAAAATATTTTGGTCGTTTCAGATTTTGGTCGTTTCAAAAATTCAGATTCGACTCTGGTTTCTATTATTTTGGTATATCAACTATTTCTAGCACAATGTTTATTGATTATCAACCTCTTTAGATTGCTTTTTGCAGACTTTGTTTTATACCTTGTAAGCCTTTAATTGTTTAAGACAGACCTCAACTCTGGATGAAACTAAAGTCAAGAAGGCTGAAACTGATTTACCAAAAGGCTGCAAAAACTAGAGCTAATTTCTAATATGGACACCCATAGTTAGTGCCGATGAGAAACTTCAAATTTTTATGATATTCTTTGCTTCCAAACGTCCTTGAAATTTTCTATAGATTCGATGTCGTTTTGCACAAACGCACAAAACTTTTGCTCTTAACTTGAAATTAGTTCTTTTGGCGCTGAATTTTGTAAAATAAATTGGAATTAAATCAATTTAATTCAATTTTTTACTTACAAAAGCCAATTGCTCATTTCGACCACGGTTTTTTTATCACTGACTTTCAAGCTTAAATACCTTGTTCAAAAAACTAGTCAACCTAAAGTGCATGAAAGTTTTGACCAATTAAACTGCTCAAGGCCGCCGATATTGCCTACAATTTGGCCTTAACTTTAGAAGCATCACTCGACAAGCTTGATCGCCTTGCGATGTTATCTCTCTGTGCTCAAAATAGTAGATGTTTGCTTCTGAATTATAAATACATGAAAAGAAACTTATTATAATTGTTTTAGGACGGACACTTTCGGCTTCCGTGCCCAACTGGTGGGGGAGGTAGAGACAATAGGTCTGTGGATCATCAACACCAACATGTTCACCACAGCCGACTCATGGACACCAGAGAAGGTCAAATTAACTTATTTCTGTTTTTTTTTTCGAAAGTTAGGCAGTATAAAAGGGGAGTGGTTGTGAAGTGTTCTCAATCTAAAGGCCGGATGTTCGAGGCCCACCATGATCCGTGCTCGTTGCCTGAGGGAGAGGCAACATAACCCAGCCTAGAAAAGTACAAAAAAATTGCATGTATTTCTTAAGCAGGCGCACAGCAGCGGTTCGCACTGATGAGCTGTACAGCTCCTATGTTGTTCCTTTCCTTCGTGGATAAATGATTTAACTCTATCTAATCAGAAAATTAGAACATAATTTAAAAGGCATTGCTTAATTCCAATTAATTAGAATTCTTCATGAATTTTAATTGATTTCCATTCTGAATATCACTTTTCTAGCACTCACACCCCAAGAAAAGGTTAGGGGACATGTACTTTGAGGTTTTCAATTAGAACGCGGCATATTTTTTATTAGACACTTTAAAAATTTGGCCTGCTCACTCAATCACTTCACCTGACTTAGTAGATAAATCAAATATTGGTTTTCTGACTACAAAAAAAATGACAGGGGCACAGATCTATCACTGAACTTGTTCTCTGCTACCAAAAAATATTTGGCAACTCAATTATTTGAACTTCAGGTTGAGATCTCGGTGAATGGGGGAAGACCGACTAAGTTCCTCAACTTTAAAATGAAGACAATCTCTACTGGAGATAAGAAACAGCTGATTCTGCGTCAAGTCACAGAAGAAGCGGGTGAGCACCTTAAAACATAACAGAGAAAAATATTGGTTAAGAATTCTCTCTCGTAATTTATATAGCCTGTATATGCTCGGGGTGCGTGCACTAAACCGATGTGTCAGTAATTCACCAGATCAATAAACCGATTTACGTAATAATACATCAATTTGCAAAGTTAAAGATTTATAGAATAAATTTTCTATGAGCTGAAACAGTAATTCTAAAACTACGAGGCTCATGGGAAAAGCTATTTTATTTCATTATTTTTTTAATTCAATTTTTGTTTTGAGGCAATACTGTATAAATGTCATTTTGTATAAATCTCAGTTTTTAGCTAATGTGATTACATAATTGAATCATTAATTTTCTGTTAACTGATCTGGTCCGCCCGTTTTCGGTTTACTGATACATCGATTTACTGACCTACCACCATATGCTCATGTTTGAGACTATATTTTTATACAGGGTACAAAACTAACCATTAAAGTGCTGACTTCTTTACGGAGAGCCAATCTTGAGCTCATCTTCATTTAGGCATCTCTGCTATTGCAACAATTTCTGGGCTTTGAATTGTTGCATAACTGAGAATTGTTCAGATCATGATCAGCCTCAAACCATCGAGTTTCGTTGTTCCACAGAGATGCTGACACCTCAGACTTTTCCTTTGTGCTCCCAAAACTGCGCTATAAAAATGTTGCAATCTTTTAAAATTTTCCGAAAAAAAAGAGAACGATTTGGCAAATAATTTTTAAAACGAATGTTTAAAGTCAACTTTTAAATCAAGCCCTATCAATTTTAGAAATATTTATACAAGTTAAACCTTTCTACATTCTAACATTTATCTCAGTTGAAAATGAAGTAAAATTCCGTCCGAATAGCTAAAAAAATCACCTAAATAATTCAGTACACCGCGAGCCAATAAATTTTTGGAAATCAAACTTAGCTCGATTAATTTTGTCTCATAATCAGGGGCGGATCTAGGATTTTCTCGGGGGGGGGGGGGGGGGGGGGGTGGGCGGATTTTCAAAACATTTTCGAAAATTTTGTCGACCTTTTTTTTAGGTTGACCGACCAAATTGATTTTCCGAGCTCTCCCAAAGCACTAAAAAGACCTTGTTGTGGTCATTTTTTCTGCGCCCTCCTCAAAATTAGTACATATTGGCTAGAAAATTTTTAGGGTCCGCCACCAAATATGCATATCTCAAAAGGGGTCAGCATATCTCCCTTTGGGTCGGCAGGGGGTCAAATCCCTGAGGGGGAATCATCCCACCCTAAATCCGCCCCTGCTCATATTCGATGACTTCGAATGATCTTTCCAGACGTAGTGAAAACTGAGTACATGATCCGAGTGTCCACAGCAATGGAGAAGGGGGCAGGCACCAAGGCAGCTGTGAGTGTGAACATAGTGGGAAATCAGGGAGAGACAGGTCCACTCCCCCTCAGACCCACTCCAGAGGGGGCCACTAAGAAAGTGGGAGGGGTACAAACACACTCACAGAACCCATTCAGAGATGGAAGGCAAGAAAGATTGGTTGATGTTTTCTGGAGTAATTCAAAAAAAATTGGAAATAGTTACGAAGATTTAATAAATAGAGCTAAAATACAAGGTTGAATTATTACCGCAAGCGAGATCCAACCGCAAATTTCTTAAAACTTTCTTGGAAAACATCGGAGGAACGGTTGACAGCAGAGGTTGGTGGCGCAAAATGATGTAAGTGGCGAAGGAGTTCATTCCATGGGGGAGAGGAGTTAGCGGTAACTTCCCTTAAGCGAATAATGGCCAGAATATTTCAAGTACCGAAAATAGTTTTTCCATGTAAAACGTTTAACTTCTTGTTTTAGTATCGCTATGTTTACTGTGTTCAGCGTGGAAGTGGGTGCAATCATCAGAGTAATCTTCTCACATGACAATCAGAACGAAGGACCAGCATGGCTTCTTGAAAAAGTAGGCCACATAAAAGTATTGCCGACTAAATTCTGGGGCATGCCAGCAAGGATTGTGACATACGTTGCTTTTTTCACAATACCTGACAGATGAAATTATGTTATAAAATTTCATCTTGGTTAATTGCCAATGAACTACAAGAAGTTGAATAAACTTGTGTGACATTTTTGTCAAGCCTCGAATTTGATTTTTTATGCGGTATGATTTTCAATTCTTTGCGTTCAACTCAAATTTATTTGTTTCAAATTAGGTTCTTTCTTGAAAAAGTTTAAATGATGTAAGCAAAACATGGATGCTTTCAGTGTGAAAAAATCATTTCAAGTCTTCGATTTCCCATCGAACTAAAAAAATTACTATGGATCCAGTTTTCTCTAGTTAGTTTACTTTTATAAAAAATCGCCAATCATAAAGTTATACATTTGTAATCAAAAAATTAAAAGTTGAAAAAAATTTAAAAAGCTCTTTTTTTGTTTGGTTGTTTGATTTCCTTGACAATTTTTGGCGTGAAAAAAAAGTTGCGAACATGAGTTAGTCAACGAAAAAATTAAAATTATGTGTTCATGCTTATTTTTGAGTTGAATTTTAAATGGTTTTTACTTATTTTTCACTTTAAAACATGTTTTCAAACAACCTCTACAGCTCACTTGTAAAGATTTTTTGTGCATGTAAAGATTTTTTCACGCCGATTGAACGCACGCTGCAGATTACCTATTTTTTGTTAATACAACAATTTTCACGTACTGATCTCTTCATCATGAACTGCGTATGAACGCAAGCAAGTTGAATACCCGTACAGAAACAAAATAAAAATACAGATATGCCCAGGGTTAATCCATTTGTTGTGAGATTGCATATCTGTCCTGAGCTGTATCAGACATAATCAGATCTGAATTTTTTTTTGAAATTTTCGAATGAATTCTCAACTTTTGTCACGTGTCTTGTTTTTATCGTTGAAAATAGTTATATAGTCAATCTATCACAAAAGTCATAGGATAACCATTCACAGTGGTTATTTAGTTAGATAGAATAACTAAATCCCCATTGTTTATTTTGTGTTCTTATCCCCAGCTAATGCGAGAAATCAACAATCATGTAATTGCTCTGGCCACCAAATTAGAGAAGGAGCTACTTGAAATTGTTTTTTTTTGTCGCAAATACAATCGATCGAATGGCAAATCATATTAAGACTCGATCTGTCGTAATTCCAACAGCATTTGTACGCGAAGTGTAACTTCATTTGCATTTTTTTAATCGAGTATTCAGAAAGACAGCTTTTTTGATGAACCCGGATTTCCTAATAGCTCTGAATTTTCCTAACAATTGATGTGGTATTTGTGAGATACATGGTATTTTCGTTTCACTGTATATATGCATGAACAATCAGTTCGCAAATGACATCAATATATGCTTCTCAGAATTGTAATAATTTTACATTAAATTCGTCGCAATAATGATTTGAACGAGAGGGAGTCCCAGCGCGGTATATAGAATCGCAACTGTATACTTTTATATGACTGTGTTTTCTGATTGATTTGAAGCAAAACTCATTAATGTTTTCTCAAATTCAAAATTTGAAAATTTTTAAAAACGACTTATAATGTTATAAACTGCGTTGGGGGGTTGGAAACTGGAAAAGAGCCCAATTATGTGGTTCATTTTCTTGTTCTTCAACATCTGGCAAGTGTTTTGGTTAAAATATTGAAAGAAAAACATTTCAATAAATCTTTTAAACAGCTTGTTGTTTCGCCTTGTTTGCAAAAAATAATCAAAATTGTTTTTAGGCCCTTGAATCGATCTGCCCAGGAGTCTTTTTGAAATTTTAGTGATTGGAAATCTATCTAACAAAAACTTGGAAACCAGATCTGAGCATTGTAAAATCTTGCCTATTTCAGATCTTGTCCAGACATGGTGCATGTTTCGTTTGGACATGGACATGTCTGAATCAGGACTGAGGCAGGTATGGATTCTATTACTAAAGCAGATCTGCTCAAGGCCTGATTCAGATGATTCAGACCTGGGGCACACATGGGTCATACCTGGTGCAGATCTGTTCAGATCTGACCCATATATGCTCCAGGTCTGAATCAGACCTTGAGCAGATCTGCTTTTGTGATAGAATCCATACCTGCCTCAGTCCTGATTCAGATATGTCCATCTCCAAACGAAACATGCACCATGTCTGGACAAGATCTGAAATAGGCAAGATTTTACGATGCTCAGATCTGGTTTCCAAGTTTTTGTAATGTCACATGTTGGTTGTGGTTGTTCCATATCCAATGTCACAAATACAATGGTGGTTCCATAGTGTTGCGCTTTCAGGCAAGATAAATTACTTGTTTGCTGTGTAAGCAGCAAGATAAAAGGTCAAAAAAATATTGAAAAAACTTTTGAGAACAGAGAGGAAGCAGAACTCGTACCACTTGCGATACAAAAACATGATGAGTTTAAAAAAACCCAAAATTTTTCCTAGATTTCAAAATTGTTCATGTTTATAAAAACTCACCACAATCAAACTTTTCTCGACTACACTATTGAATCAAGTAGGCTCATTTAACAAACTCGCGCAAAAAGGAGTGAGCCATTTGCAAAAAAAAATGTAATCAGAAAATGTCAAGTTTCAGATAATTTAGGACGTATAGCTCCACCTTTTTTTTTGAATCAGAAGTTGAAATAAAAGGAGAGAAACATCCAAACAATTAGATTCCTGACTGGATCGAAGCCCTCGCCATTGTTATCCCAACTATGTCCAATATCGCTAAAATAAGTGGGCAAACATAAGTGCATAATTGAATAATTGATAGGCTAAAAAACAATTTTATGAAGTCTTTTCGTGAATTAAATTTTTAACGGGAAACAATCTAAGCCCAGTCGCATTTCGCTTACTTATCTCAAGGGTCAAAACCATTATATTTTTAACAACTCTGATGTTCTTCTATAAGTTTTACCGAATGTATGGGGAGGTGAAACAGGGTTGAAACTCAATTTTAAAAAAAATACAGTTCATGTAAGCCCTGACACGGATCAAAGAAGCCTGCAGAGACATGTATGCTTTCTCATCCGATCATTTCACTAAAGAATTCATCTTAATAAAAAAAAATTAAACCTAATTTATTTGCAAGAGTGGGAATTTTATGAAAAAACGTTGAGCTGCAAAAAACAACAGAAATTTTTTCATAGTTATCTCATTTACTAGCTTTCCTTAACATCGCCTGGAAAAAGGGTCCATGAAGTTTGCTGAAAATAGCATGATTTATTAGTCTAATTGCAGTTAGTCAGTTAGAGTTGTTTTTTGGAGAGATGAACTTGTTTTGCTTTCTGGGATACTACTCAGCAGATTTTATCAACCCTTAGAATGCCCTCTCAAACCTATATAAGCCTTAAGTTAATTAACTCAATGTAGTGTAATTAATTTTTTCTAGTTCAAAATAATAAATCTTAACATTGAGGTGCTTCAATATCAGCAATCAGTATTGAATAATAAAATGGGCCTATTTTTGATTGCGTTCCCAGAAAATGGACAGTATTTCAACAAAAAAAATCAACAGATTATGTAATAAAACGAACTCAGTGCTTCGAGTTTTCCGACTACTAAACAGAAAGTATCCTCTGATCTTCGGTTGATTCGATTCCGAGACTTGAGCAAAAAAATGTTAGCTCCACGTTGTATTTAGGCGGACGTGTACCACAATGGACGCACAGTTAAACTGCTGAATGAAGATAGGATCTGGATAGACGAGAGGAGTGGACTCTCACTCACTCTAAGGCCAGACTTCCGGACAAACGGTAGAATTATATTGATAGATGAAAAATAGTTGAATGCCAAAAAAGAAATTAGGGAAACATTAGTAAAAAAAATAGCATTAAAACCTATATTAATTTGTGACTTGTTGATGGATAGAATTCTTGCTACCCGATGTTGAAAGAATAAATTCAGGTAGAAGCTTTTTAAAAAGTTCCTTTGTACAGGAATCATAAGCAAATTAAATATGAAATTAAATAATTATATTTCATAAACAATTAAATAATAACCGAAATTGAAAACATTAAATACTTCTTCAGCCGATCTGTTTGCACTGGTGATCGAGGACACTTGGGTGGGGGATATGGATCCCCTGATCACAGCCCTCAGGGACTCCCTCCTCACTCCCAAAGTGATTGTAGTGCACAACTCACACCGTCTGAACATGACTCAGCTGCACAGATACTACTGGAATGCTTTCTAGTTAGTAATATGCACAGATTTTAATTAGAATGTAAAAAAGCGTGAAAAAAGTTTGAAAACAGAAAAGGCATCTTAAAAATATATTAAAAACTTGATGAAAAAATAGCCATCATCTAAAATGTGTGCTTAAACGCAAGTTGGATTTTTGGATTTGGACAGCATCATTTATTTTGCAATTTTGTCAGAAAGGAATCTCTTTGGCTATGGTGTTTCATCTCTTGGATCGATTTGGTCGGCTTAAAAAATGTCGACCAACTGTTTTTTTTTTCAAAAATGTAACCCGTCACAAAAATTTTTTCCAAGTAAACATGTTGCTGAATATCGCATGAATGCCCAGACATCACCACTATTTTACTAAGCAAAGCTATAAGAAAAGGTGATTGAAATTATTTTAAACTCTGTTTCGAATTTCGTTTCAGTGATGACTCATTCGACGTCTTCTGCCTCTCCTCCCTCAGTCCCCCCTCCCCCTCCGCCTCCGTCCTCCGATTCAACTTCTCCCTCACCAACCCCAAACAGACAACGAGGAAACAGTTCGCACGTCTCATGCTCACCAATATTGCACCCTCACTTGTATTTCGCACGGGCAAAAATGCACCCTTGGGAGTGAAGGGGGGCCAGAGTGGTCGAGTGGCTGTGTTTAATGTCACTTTGGGGGGCAGTTTTGAAGTCATTGTCACTGATAGCGACCATGAAGATGAACAGAAGTTAAGTGACGAAGGCTGTTACGTCATGTGGGGGTCTAATATTTTTCCAAATTGGACCCGCGCTAGAAGGTATGTTGCTGTAAATTTCTATGACTTGAACGATAAAATGTGTCTTTGCATTTTTTTTTCAAGTTCCGCCAAAATATATATAAAATGGACCGAGGTTTTCTAATTTGCAAAAAAAAAAACGTCAAAAACACTGTCCCTTTGGCGAGCATTAATCTTCTGTCAAATTAGTGCATATTGTGGCCGAAAGCGCTGTTCCAGAGTTTTGGGTCTGATATGAAAGCTCAACGAAAGCGATCTAAAGAGGTAAAGGTTCTGACCACAAGTCTGTCCCCAATTCTGAATTCGAAATTTTTCCCAAGTCGTATTCTTTGGAACTGTTTTACTTTAGGACATCCATTTTAGGGGGGCGGAAAAACCGTTTTATTTGAGAGCTTTGGCATGTTACCGGTGACGTTTTCTTAACGAACACTCAGTCTGTAGGCTACCCCCAAATGAAAATTGTTTGCAAGGTGGTTTAAATTTATTGAAAAAAATGTTTCTGGATCTTCTTCCTATTTAAAGATTTTTGAAATACGAAACAGGCAAACATCTGATCGCAGAACTTGATCCGCGTCTCAAACTTTTCTTTTTGATTTACGTTTTTTAACAGTCTTCCCGTAATTGGAGCGACCAGTTTCTTCCCGAAGAGAGAGATAGTGCTTCACACTGGATTTAATCCGGATACGAAGTTCAACCTGAACAATGTCAGACTGGGCCAGTTTGCATCCCTGATTATGGACCAGATTCCATACTCTATTCAAGAAAATGCTCTGGGGTAAGAAAGCAAAGCATTGATCAGAGTTGTCTAAAAGAGGCAAAGATAATCACTGATAAGTTTTCTCGGAGGCAAAATATTTTGTCCTAGTTTTTTGAGTTTTTATAATTTCCTTGTTCTTTAAATATGTCTGTTTACTTCAATCTTTTCGAATCACAAAATTGATAATAAGAATATTGTGTTCAGCTCTTTGGCACTCAAGTTTGACTCTCTGTTCACGTGGTGTCAGGACTCCCCAGACCAACTATGCGAAGAGCAGATCACCCCCTCCATCAACGAAGACTGGGGGGATAGACAGTGCGGGGACATGCCAACTCCTGATCTGTGCATGCTTTGTCACATTCAGCAGTTGAATCAGACCAGAGGCAGATCTTCCGGGCTAGCCAAAAAGTTACTACAAGAACTTTTTGATCAACACGTGTCAAAAATAAGCATTTTTCATTAATTTTTGTTTGAACTATGAGAAATGCAATTACTTATTCGAGGAGCTTACTTTCAAAAGACTCTTGCAATCTAAATAAAGTAGAAATGACTTGCGAATTTTTTTTTCATTCTTCCCTCACCCACCAACCAAAGGGTCCCCCCTTTAGTATCATTCTTAAGTCATCCAATTTTGGCGACCAACCCTAAAAATGCTTCTGGCGCGAATATATTCCAACTTTAAAAAGAGCATCGCAATTTTTCATCAAAAGAATTCATAAATGTGCCCAAAAACGGCATTTTTGACCATATTTTTTAATTTGTCTGCGGCGCGGAAAGTTATGTCAAAATAGGGTCTTTATAGTGTTTTAGTAGCGATCGGATAATTCATTTGGTGGACCTACAAAAAGGTCAAAGGTCGGCATTTTTTTTTTCGAAAATCCGCCCCCTCGAAAAAATTCTAGACCTGCTCCTGATTCTGTGTTACTGGCACAGTAACCGGCTACTCTTACTTAAAGAATGATTTTGAATGTTTAGATGCAACTGGATAGATACCTCCAGGTTCAGAAGTGACAAACTGCACTGCACTAATTTGACACCAAATACCGCCATTCTACTCGTTGCAGCCATTTTTAACTTATTAATATCAATGGGGCTGTTTTAAAAACTCAAAGTTTGAAATGAAATCATTAAATCCGTTATGTAAAACATCTAAATTATTTCAAAGTAAATATGTACTGACTGACTGACCGGCTAATGCTTGTTTCCAGCCAGCATTGAATTATATTTGCTAAATAGACGCAATATTAAATAATATAGGTTAAATATCGTGGGGTTCAAGAGTGGGACACCATTAAAAATAGATCATTGGCAATACTTGGTGAAATATTGATTTAATTAGAATTAATCATTAGTTAATTGAGTGTTTGAATAACACTTAACTGAGTATTTTATCGACAATAAACAATCCTTCGTTTTTGTCTGTAATTATGGGTGCTATATTTCAGAAAATAAGTATTTAACATTGAAGTTAAAATTTGTTACTGGTTAATTATATCTTATTTGCTATTGTTCACGTGACAACTCGAATAATTGTCTAGTTTACCTAGAATTTTTCATTTCATTCTTCTATTCAGCGCAAACAATACTCTCGTATCTATGGAGTAGCGTTCTCTTTACAAGAAAATTGATGAAAGTTTCAAAAAGGAAAAAAAAATTCATTTTTTTTAGTTATTTTCACCGCGCCATATAAAGATTAAAGAATTTGATTTCACATAAAGCGAAGTATTAAATTGACCAAATAGCAGGCCTCAATTCAAACTACAACGATTTCTATGACGGATTAAATCATCACTTACGGGTTTAAGCGTGAAACAATACGCACGTTATCCATCCCAATTGACCGAAATGGCATTCATAAACCCCCATAACTTAACGAAAAAAGATAACAGACAGTTTGTTATAAATAAAACTCGGGCAATGATAAACTTTGGGTGATAAGAAAAAAAATGCCAAAAAAATGCTAGTTAAAAATTTGAAAATTGTTTGGAGAAAAAAACCACCGGTGCACAAATATTCCGTCAATTTCTTGGAAAATCGGAACAACAAGACTGATCCTATCAGGTAAAGCCCTCATTGTTACAATTGAAAAAAAATGATTTTGAAAAACAATTGTTCAATAATGACTTTTTAAATGACTTGGTGACATTTAAATGACTTTTTAAATGACTTGGTGACTTGGCTATTCTGAACACATTTAGTTTCTGGCTTTACCCCCCTTAAAAAAACATATTTTTTCGCAATATGGCAAATGAAAAAAATGCAATGAACACAAAGAAAGAGTATGGAAAAAAAACAAGACTCTTCGTACATCTAGCCTCAATTCAATTTGGAATGATTTTGTAGTGCGGGATAATTTGCCACGCTTAAAAAAATTGGCTGTAGGCGTTACGCTTTCAGGCTTAAGTGCGCAAAATTTAGTACAGAACAAGGCCCAATTGGCAATTTTCAAACTCCCAGAACTTTTTGTTCCGACTTTCGGTACGAAAGTAACGGAATATTTGTGCTTGGGGTGGGTTTTTTTTTTCTTCAGACAAATTTCGACTTTTTAACTAGCAATTTTTGACGGACTTTTTTTATATCATTCAAAAGCTATTGTTGTCCTGAGCTCAAATTTGAAAAGATATTTCACCTGTGACCATTTTTCGTAAAATTATGAGGGTTTAAAGATTGCCATTTTGGCCATTTTGGGATAATTAACGCGCGATATAATTCGCGCTATCAACGCGTAAGCGGAGATTTATTTCGTATTAGAAATCGTTCCAAATTGGTTGAAAGAAGCTTCTTTGCCATAATTGTTTTGTTACAATGTGCAAAAAATATTCTTTTAAACTTTATATGGCGTGTGGGGGGATGATTTCATACAAAAAATTTCAAATTTTAGAAAAAAAAATTTTTCATTTTTTTTTAAATTATTTTTTTTTATGTTACTACTGCTCGATAAACCTGAAAAGGCAGTCGGAACATTCATGGCTTTACCCTGATACGAGCAGTCTTGTTAAAGTATATATTCGATGATAAAAACATCTTTTCATTTGAATTCAGAAAGTCTGCTTTTTCAATGGTTTATAAAAATTTTCATTTCGATCGGCGAAAATTGACTGAAAAAATAACACACCAAGCATAATATTTCCGTTTTCTTCGAAAATTGGAATATCAAGACTGCTCGTATCACGGCAAAACCCTGAATGCGTCTACTGCCCTTTAACGGGCCTTGTATATTTTTTGGTTATAAATTTAGGCTGATATCATCAACTTTTAAGCGTTATTGAGTCGTGTCTGGAACTAATAAGACCAGTCAGATTGGTTCAATTGCTTGAAACAATTTTGTTTTGCTGGATATAGTGTATGAACGTACTTCTGTGCTTATTAGAGTGTTTTAAGACTTTTTTTCTGAAAAAAATACAAAAAAATCACTAGACTTTAAAAGTGTTCACTGCATTCATGAATTTAAACAATTACAAAAGTATAATGCTGAGCAGCAAAAAAACAGAGATAATAATTTTGCTGAAAAAAAGCTTCAAAATAAAATAACATCAAACGACAAAAGAGCGAAATTGATGTTAGAAAAAATCATAAACTGTATAAATATCTTCATGAGCCCTTTTTTTCAAGAAAAACCGCTTTCTGAACTGTCTGTTTTTCGTGTTTTTTTTGCACCGTTTTCGCGCCATTTCTGGTCTCTTAATTGTGAAGTACTTTTAGCAGATAAAACTGAATTGAGCTCTTTAATTCCATATACACCTATATAAGCCAATTTATAACTTCATTGATACGTAAGAATGCACTTCTGTAATGTTTATAGAGCATATTAAGACTTTTTACTTAAGACTTATGTAAGTGAAAATCATTTCGTTATTTTACACATAAACAATCAAAGCTCGATACATGCAAACCATTTACTCCTTTTGTTGAGTTACTACATGCGAAATGTATCATGTTGTTCTTCATATAGCTTGGGGGGGATGAAATACGAAACGAAAACTTTGGAAAAAAATCTAATTTCCCATTTTTCGAATGTCTAAGAATGTTCCCTTTTTTCTAAGCACCACCGTTATTGAATGACTTTGGAAGACAGTCAGAACATTTGGGGTGTCACCTTGGTACAAGCAGACTATGAAAGAAGACCTGGCTCTCTTAAAAACTAAATCAATGAGTCGGCTTGTGTGGAATTCGTTCCTAGTAGAAAAATATCTCCCACTTTGATATAGACGAGAGAAATAACCTTCAAACAACAGCCCTTAAAGAACCACTTAAAAAAATTTTTTAAACAATACTTCAACAAAACTTCAGTTTCGTGGGTTATAATAAACAAAAATAAAACTTTAATGAATGAACTATATTTATTCCATTCAGAATGAATAAATACAATGCATTGATTAAATACTAATCTTTCAAATAGAGAAAAAAATGAATTCTTCATATGAAGCTGTAGTAGAAAAAACTATAATTCTGGCAAAACTATTCAACTTCTTCGTTGAATGCTATAAAACTTTCAGTTTTACGAAATTGAAACCAAGATAAAACCAGTCACGCTAGTTGTTAGTTTTAGCTTGCATAATGAAGTATCTAGCGGTATTGAAATTTCAGAAACCCTATTTTGCGGCATTATGATATAATTGGTAGCCGCATCGAGCTTCCGACCTTTTAGATACTGTCATTTTGCGGCGTGTGTTTACTATCGGGTAAGCGATTAAGACCATGTCTGATCATAAAATTTTTCCCCGCGCCGAGAGAATTTTCAAAATGTCAAATTGTGGGAAGTTACTAAGGCTGGGGTGACTAATCATTTAACTAGTAGTAATGAGGTAAAAAATTTAAATAATGTGTTTATGCTAAAGTTGGTTAGTTTGTCTTCTAGGGTGAATAAAAAAATTCCAAAAACAATTGTGCAAAAAAATCCAAAAACAATTGTTTCCATGATACCGTTTTCTGCAAATATCTTACATCAAAAAAGACAATTTTAAGCTGAATTAGTCCCTTTGATATGAGAAATTAATATTGCCATTATCTTTTATGCCGAATTATAGACGTTGATTGATCAAAAACAGAGACGAATGACGTTTATTAATTCAAAAGGTGCCTGTAATATGGTAAGCAAAAAAAATCGAACAAAAACGAAGTTTCTAAATAAGCATCTAAGTAAATCTTTTTGAAAATATGATTTAATAATTTTAATCTGAGCAGTTCGTAATGCTAGTTGAACTGAAACTGATTACTTTTCACTACCCCTAACAGGCTTCAGTAGAAATTTTGCGCTTTTGATGTTGAACTTACTCGAACAGAAATCGAGATCTGATCTTGATTTAACTTTGAAATTATAAACTTGAAAGAGAAAAGGCAAAACTTACAAACTCACCTGTCTGTTCACCTGGTTTTTGATGTTATAAAAAGTAGGATTTGTATATATTTTTTATTGTTTAAACAGATGTTTCCATGATCAATTTTTTATAAGAAGCATCAATTTGGAGAAAAAGTTCTGCATTTTAGTCAATTAGACAAAAAAATCAGTTAATTGTAAAATGATGAATTTGTATCGATTTTTTTTCGTAACATCTTTGGGTTTATCAGGAGCAATCAAAACCCACCAAAAAGCAGCCAGGTAATGATTTTGATGTTTTAAAAAAATTACTATTACTTTATTTCTCAGTTTGAACTGTTAAAAATTTGGAGCGGTGGTAAAAAGATTTCGTCTCTGAGTCTCAATCGAAAATTCAGATGATTGAGGCTCACCATGATGCGTGGCTATTTGCTTGAGGGAGAGGCAACAGCACGCGGCATAGAAAAACAACCAAAAAATTGGCATGTGAATTACAAGCAGGGTTACAACAGCGGTCGACTGCGATGAACTGAACAGCTCGTATGTTGGTCCTTTCCCTTGTCGATAAATGGTTTCTGACCGCATTTTTAACCTCAAAATTTTTTTCAATGGACTACCCCTTGTTTCAACCTCGCAGCCTTTATTTTACATTTTTGCTGTTTCTTTTCATAGTTTTTCAATGTTATGAATGTCCAGTATCATCAAAAACTTTTAAATTGTAAAACAAATATCTTGCAAAAAGATTGAATTTCAGCCTCAAATTTCGTTTTCTGGAAAAATTAAACCATAAAACATAGACAACAGGCAGTTGGAGAAGAGCCACTAACTCAAATAAATAGAAAAAAATACCGGCGTTTTTTTTAATAGAAAACTCCAAATTTGATCTTCAAATAAAAAATGTATGGCCTCAAAGTTCTTTGAATTTCAAAACAGTTTATGATTGACACCTTTTGATAAAATCAACCAAATTTTGATAAATTAAGAAAAGTGGATCAAAAAGTAAGCTGTTGTTCTTTTGGGAAATCAGAAAATTGTAAACCACTTTCTAAGCTAGAGTTAGATCACGTTTTTTGCTATCTTTACGTTTTTGTTGTTTGAAAGTGGCC